TGCCTGTTTACTTGTTTTTTGTCTCTCTTTCACTAGGCTGTGAGCTCATAGGGCAGGGACCACCTCTGTCTTATAAACTGTACTCCCAGCACAGAGCAGGAGCTCCTTAACTACATATTGAATACAAGGTGGATAACCCTGCCATTCTGAAGCATCCCTTTATTCTTACATTCATCCTTTTATTTCCTTTGTCAATCTCACCCCCCCCAGTCTATCTCCAACCGCATCGCCTTTGCCCATTACCAAAAAGCCACATCTATTCGTCAAGATCCAGTTTAAATGCCCCACTCCGCATCCATTTTTCCTGGGTCCCTTTCCCTGCCCTGTCACTCCAGAACTTTTCTAACATCTTTGCTCATCTTTTTTGCAACATCTCACTTTCAACATGCCCAGCACCTTCTACCTTGTAGTATGGCTATTTGTGTAGAGTTGATGGTTCTAAACATTTCTCTATTTGCCTCAATCTGGAGAAAGAGACATGGAAAGTAGCACAGATATGCAGTAGAGGTTTTGGAAGAAATGGGTAGAGAGCTATTGCAGATTGACATCAGTGCTAGGAGGCTANGAAGAGGAAGAGGATGGACAGAGGGTATAGGCAGATGATGCTAGGTGCTTCACAGACATTACCTCGCTGAAGCCTGCACAATCCCTTTTCCCATTACCGTCCCCATGTGAAAGATGAAAAAACTGATAACTCTGAGGAGCTGGGCAAATAACTTGCTCATGATCACAAAAGAGGAGATGTTACTTAAATTCAGGTTTGATTCCAAATTGAATGTGCTTTTTACCGCAGTACATTCCACTCCCCATCCTCAACTTCCCCTTTTGGGTTTGGGGGTGTCTTTCTGAGGCTTGCACATGTGTGGGGGGCAGGTGAGAGTGTGTGTGTGTATGTGTACACACAGAGCATAGACCAGAGAGAAGCATGGAGTGGGTCCCCAGGCTGCTGCCTTTAGATTTTCCTTGAGGTAGCCCCACTCAGCATCCTGGATTCAGGACTGCAGCTCTGAACGGTAAGGAAGAGGGTACAGTAAGTCGCACCCCCCCTTGGGCCAGCTCCCTCAGGAAGGCAGCACAACATGGGAGTATGGCAGGTGAAGGGCAAGCAGACTCCATTTTTCTCATTGGATTGGAAGCTCCTGGAGATGGGATCTGTCCTGGGGGACTTTATAGTGCCCATAATTTCTAGCATTCCTAGAGATCAGGTACATTCATGAGTGGGGAACCAAGCAGCACAGGTCTAAACAACCGGGACATAATCCTTATTGGATTATCTGGTCCAAATCCCAGGGCAGTTAATTAATTTGCCCAAGGTCACATAACCAAATAAAGAGCCTATACCAGGTCTCCTGGTGCTTAGTCCAAAGGTCTTCACACTGCCTCTCAAACCACTGCCCCTGCTGTGGCCACCAAAGTCTTCATTCTTGGGTGGTTTTTTCTCCTTGTCCCCACTCTCTCTCTTATAATGCCATTTACTTCCTTCTAGGTTCCTAGTACTCCCTAAGCTGGATTCTTCTATCCCCAAAACTTCACTGAACAGAGTATTCGGATCCCTTGGCTGAAACCTTGCAACCTCATCTAGGGAAACAATGAAGCCCAGAGCTTGTCAGATATTGGGGGTGGGGATATTACAGAAACCCCCCCTTAGGATGAGACTCTCACATTGCTCTTCCGTGCGTACAAAAAGGAATGGTTCTTTCCAAAGAAAAACAGTTTAACACAAGTTGGGTTTTTTCCCCCTTCTCATATATCAGTCTTAACTGAAAACACCCCTCAGGCTGGCTAGTTTGTTCAGTTGGTTAGAACACAGCCTAGTAATACCAAGGTCATGGGTTTGGATCCCTGAACCTGCCAGCCACCAAAAAAAAAAAAGAATTTTTTTTTGAAAAAGAAAAGAAAACATCCCTAAGTACAAATGAGAGCTATTAATTCAACAAGTCACTGAGTGCAAACTCAAGTGCCAGGCACTCTGCTGCAGGCAGGGGACACAGAGGCGATCCCAGCAGTCATGGAACCTGCCTCATGAAGTCTGGTGAGGAGAACAGGTGTAAATCAGCGAGGTGTGTGTGATGGAAGAGGAAGTACTGTGGGTGCTATGGGAACTGTGATTATTTCTGGTACCATAAAACAGGGTGTTTGAACTTCAGCAGCACTGAAAATGGTCTCTTTCAATAGACAGTCTCCCGTTTTCTCAAGAGCATTTTTT